CCTCTAACCGTTTGGTTAGCAGCCGAGTGCATTAACCATTTACACCACCCAGGGACTCCTTTAAAACTCTTAGCAACTAGGAAATGGGAACTTCCTAGCCTATAAGCAGTTTCTTCCCAAAACCTACGGCAAATATCATACTTAACGGTGAAACTTTAGAAACAGTCCCTTTAAATCAGGAATAGGTCAAGAATATATGTTGTAAAAAAAAAAAAAGAAAGAAAGAAAGAATATTTATGTTGTCCCTGTTTCTATTTAACACTAGTTAGGTCCCTGACAGTGGTGTGGGAGAAGAAAAATAAGAGTTAAGGATTGGGAAGGAAGAAATAAAATATATTTGCAGACAACATATCCTACCTTCCATTGGCTAGGCTGATTCTTCTTTTTTTTTTTTTTAATTTTGCTGCTTATTTGAAAAGTAAACATTCTATTTTGATTATTCTGATGGTTGCTTCTTAATTATTAAGAACCATACTTATGTTTATTTTTTTTCTACAATTCCTTGCTTTTCAAAATTGGTTTCATTCCCTTAGCAAGGTAAAATCCTTAGTCTTAAATCCTCCAGTTACCACCCCCATGCTGCCTTCTTCTACAGTTTTGTTTCAGGATTTTTTAACTGGTTAATAATTACAGCAAGCATTTAGACAGTGCTTATTACGGGTGCTTTTCCAGATTATCTCAAGTAGTCTTCACAACAACCCTATGAAGTAGGCACCATAGTTAGGAGAAAGCTGGGGCACAGGGGTTAAGCAACTTGTCCAAGTCACAGAGCTAATAAGCAGCAGTCAGGATTCAAGTCTCACTCCCTCCTCAGGTAAGGTGATTCTAAAGTTCTCTGGGAAAAATAAGCAAAAACAGGTAAGAATTTTTTTAAGGGCAATGAAGTTATTAAAAACTGTAAAACTACAACAACTAAGCCACTGTGTTATTGGCATATGAATAAAAAACATTTAATTGGAACAGAATAAAAAACCAGATACAAGCCCAAATACACGTGAGACCCTGTTGTATGATAACTGTGGCTTTCCTTATTAGCTGAGAAAAAGATGAATTTCAATAAAAGATATTGGGACACCTGGCTAATTGGATCACTATTTCATACTTTATACTGAAATAAATTCTAAGTGGATCGAAATACCTTAATACAAAAAATGTGAAACCTTAAGTACTAGAAGAAAACATAGGATAATTCTTATATCTTGCAGTGGAGAAGGCCTAAGTACAACATAAACCCAAAAGCCATACAAAATACTGATAAATTCTACCTAAAATAAATTTCTATACTATCAAAATCATATGCAGAATGGGTAAGGGTAATGGTTGAACAACATGACGGACATAAGTTAATGCTACTGTACAGGTGAAGAATGTTGAAATGGCAAGTGTTTCGTTACATATATTAT